GATTATTTCTGCTTTTGTGTTGGGGTTGGGGGTAGCTTAATTAATTTGGCAGCAAATTGAAGTTTCTGACAGTAGTTGTCACATGCATTATATATATGCTAGCTAATTTGCATGTGCTTTCCATGCCGTGCATGATTCTGTATATATAATCTCATATATATACCATATATGGAGGAGTATATATATATATTCAGGAAGCAATCGATGGATCACCCCAATAACCCAGATGGCCAGAAGCCCTGCACTGTTGTCACCTCACACGTCGCACTTAGGGTTAGGAAGCATCGGAAATTTTACTGTGTCGTTTTTCAACAATTAGGCTGGAAGTTTGATGAAATTTTGAAGTACAACAATTTGTACCAGATTGTAGGGGAAAATAGTTTTTTCTGTGCTGAAAAGAAAAAGCCTCCCATTTCATGAACTTTGCATCTTTCTTGAAAAGATAAATACAAGAGTTTTATGCTTTTGGAATAGCTTCAACGGGGCCGTTCGGTGGCCATAGGCCGTGCCATCAATAGTGTGAAAAAGAATCTGATAGTAGCTAGCTGCGGCAGCTAGAATTCTGATTATAGTCCATGAGAGCAAGGATAATAACTTAGCCAGCAGCCGGCTAAAAGTCACTTCCATGTCACTTAGCCATGCTCTAAAAACTCACCTGTATAATGGGTTGGCTATAAGTTGACTGATACATTACCTAATTAAAACATCTAAGCAATTAATATATGCATGTACAAAACATCCGTTGTGGAGCAAGCGCCGACGCCAGCAACGGGCTGGGAGCGGGCGTTTCGCCTCGGATATAACGCTCCGAGCCGGCGACTCGCGACTCACCCATTTCCTTCTCTTTCTTGGTTTCTCGCTCCTCCACATTGGATTCGATGACGTAGCTGTTGATTTCGCTGGCTGCCTGTACATTACTATACTTGCTCTGATAGTAGCTGCAAGCTTAAAGACAACCCAAATAAAGAATCTCAATTCACTTTTTGTTTTTTTTCTACCCGCATGCTAAGCCTTCTCTCCTGTAATAATTAATTAATGGCAGCTTTCCGGCTAAGGGTAACACCAATGTATATAACAAAAGTAATCCATATAGATGGGACCCACATATATAGACTATAACTAATGTTATCTTCACAATGTATATGGATAGCAACTAGTATTAGGAGGAGAGAGAAAATAGAGACAAATAATATATTTTATTCTATATGGGCAGCCCATATGCTTATGGGTGGCTTTTGCTATTTTCTTGCTATGGACTAGTTACACAATGTGGTTAGGTGGCTGAATGGAATATTTTATTGCTTATTGACTAGTTTTAGGCAGCGTTCGAGAGGGTGAGAGAGTGAGTTTGTTTGTTTCGTTTTCCGCGCGCACGTTTCCCAAACTACTAAACGGTACGTTTTTTGCAAAAATTTTCTATAGGAAAGTTGCTTTAAAAAATCATATTAATCCATTTTTAAAATTTAAAACAGTTAATACTCAATTAATCATGCGCTAATAGCTCACCTCGTTTTGCGTATCTTCCCAATCTCCTCAATCCCCTTCTCCTCGAACACACCCTTAGACTACATTGTGGATGCCCTAAGTTACAGAAATCACTTCCACAAATCTTCCTTGGTTTCCATTTCCATTAGTACGCTTCCCAGCTAAACGGTGCATATTTTAAATATAATTTATATAGAAGTTGTTTTATAAAAAGTTCAAATAAATCTATTTTTAAGTTACAATAATTAATATTTAATTAATTACGAGCTAATTAGTTTTAAACGAACGAAACCTATAAGCTTTACTAGAATCTCGTTGGAGCCCTTAGTAAATGGTTGTCACTAAGAAAACTACCCTTTTACAATATAAGACAAGAATTGTTAGCTATTAATTTACCAAAATAATATTTTATTATCGTTCTTTTCTTAATTTTATCCATCCAATGCAGTAAATTTTCCTTTTAAAATGCTAAGAGTTGATGTTGAGCTAATATATCGTGCGTATGAATGATGTTTCTTTTTTTTCTCCCCTTTCTATCTTATGTTACCAAAATTGCTTACACGGCAACAGAACAGAGATAACCATGAATACAGCAAGGGTAAAATATTTTCGGATGTAACACAAAGATGTCGACACATTTATTTATGTTCTCTTATATGTATTAATCCATCCTTCTTTTTTTTCACCCCATGTAGTAATTTTTTTTTAATAAATACTAAGAGTTGACATTGAGCCGATGTCATACGTATCAATAATAATGTTTCTCTTTTTCCTTTTTCTTTTACATTAAAATTGCTTACGCGGCAACAAAGATAACCATCAATAAAACTAAGGTAAAATATTTTCAGGTTTGCTAGAAAGATGTCGACACATTTTTTTATTTATGTTCTCTTAGCTATTAATTCCCCCAAATATTCTTTCATCATATTTTTTCCTTTTTTTTCATCCCATGTAGTATTTTTTTTAATAAACTAGGAAGGAAGCCCACGCAGATGTGCGGGCAATTCACTTATTGTTTATAAAAAGAGTACTAAAAGATATCTCACCATATTCACTATGAGAATCATTACCTTATAATAAAAAAATATTTATTCTGTAATATAGACCATAAACTTTGATATACTATATGATAATGCCTATTATATTCAAACAAAAATCACTTTATTATCACCATCCTTCACAAACATACGAACATACTAGTTAATATGTGTTTTGGTTTTTTTTTCTTTTATTATACATCTAATTCACTTATACATTTTCATGGGTAATATACGAAAGAATAATTTATATTGTCAAAATTTATTATGCTGATTATTAACACTATTAAGATGATTCCCTAAATATAAAGGGATATAATGTGGTTCCACGTGCCATTTTCGATCGTACGCATGTATGTAACATGTATGTATGTACGTACGTACGCACGCACGCACGTACCTACGTAAGTACGTATGTTTTTCATGGTGAATAGTAGTCTCTCGGATCTATATATTTTTTCTTGGTTTTTTACAAATATTTTCCCCTTGTAGGGGATAATGTGTGTATGTGTATTCACAGGATGGGTATGCATGTGTTTATATGAGCGCCCAACTGTTTTTTACATCATTATAAAAAAATACAAGTGGTGCCAAGACGACATGGCTTCCTCGACAACATCGCTAGGAGTTAACGCTGAAAAAAAATCTACCATACATGCGAAATGGTATATACACTCTCTTTCTTTTCTTTTTACATCTCTCGTGTATGTACGTATATAGGGAGGGATTAATTGTTTTTAGGAGCAAGGCATTACTTCGATAGATCTAGTATAATGGTTGAATATAATGGATCCACCGGTTTAAGTGTAAATTGATGGCAAGGTGTTTTACTTTTATTCTTAGATTTTGTGTTATTTATCAAAGCATTACGTGGCTTCTTAGGATTGTAGGAACCCTATTAGTCATACTCGCAATCTATTTGTAGTCAACTATTATTTGTTGTGGCTTGGTGGCAACCTCTACTTATCATTTGTTGATGATTGCCTATTTAGTATTATTTCTTATCTTAGGTGCTTGATGACACACGTGCTCATTGAATTATTAGTTTGGTTTTTCATCTAATTTAAGTGAGAAAGGGAAAAAGAAATAAAGATGTGGGGCTTGGTGTGCGTAAGTATGCATGTACGTAGTACTATTTTTAGTGCGTATGTAACTACTTACCTGCACGTACACATTATAGATGTGGAGCTATTTAGAGATAAATTTAATTGGTAAGTTTTTTAGATAAATCTAATGGTTAAAGCTAATTGAACCACCAATTATTTTTTCCCCGTAGACGTGATATATGGTTACTTAAAAAGCGCTCTATAGGAAGTTTGATCAATTTTGATCATCTGGATTGACTTAAGATAAAATGAAGCATATCATCAAATTCTTTTTATAATGTCTTATTCTTGTTTGGTTTCCATATAATGTCCAAATGATGTATTTCAATTTTATATAGTAAAATAAAATATAGATAATATGAAACTTGAATTATTTATTGAATTATAAATAAAAGAACAACTAAAAGAACTTTAAAAATTATAATTGTTAAGCTATGTAATTTTTTTATAATATATAACGTTGTCAGTTTTAGGGGGGGAAAAGGAGAGGATGTGAGGGGGGAGGAAAGATACGTACGTATCTACACGTGGAGGTTGATACACGTACGTCACGTGAAGGGATGGAAAGTGGGCTTTTTATGTTTTTATATTGTTAGATAAATCTAATGGTAAAAAATAATGCATGGGTCCACCGTGATTAAGTGGAAATTATTGTTTGGATTTTTTCCTTATAATTTATTAGAGAGCCACGTGGCGATTTAGGAGTGTTTATAGGAATCCCACGTGGCGGCTTGAAAGCGTTTGTAGGAAGTTTAATGGACTTATATAATATATAGATACTAAGAGTTGACGCTGAGCTGATATCATACGTACCAACGATGTTTCTCTTTTCCCTTTCTCTTTTGTGTTACTGAAATTAGTTACATCGCAACAGAGATAACAATTAATAAAGCTAAGATAAAATTAATATTGGTTTTTATAGTATCTATTACACAGCGTTTTCTCCATATGTTGGCCATGGATTTCTCTTGCAATCATGTAGCCGCAGAGGATATGCAAGTCCCCAAGATGAAGATATTTTATATCTCAACTACATGCTCTCGTGGAAAACTCAAAGGGATCACTAATGAAGATTAAATAAATAACATCGCTACTTGGTTGAGTACATTCTAGTTGATCTTCGATCCCACGATTGTCTCCCTTCGACATTTTTAGTGAAAATGATGCCCGGCTTTGATTGGGTCTATGCTGGGCAACTAGATTGAAAGGAACTAATCATATAAAACTCTATAAACCTGCCGTCGCTACTGTACACTATTCATCCGTCCGCGCGGCCACGTCATCGGTAATTCTGGGTCCTTGGATCAGCATCTTGCTTCCTGTCTTCTCCGTCCACGCGTGGCTTCCAGGAGCTTCCTCTACAGTGCTCATCGAGGCGCACTATCTCTACGCACACGATCCCCACCTCCTCGACCTGACCTGCCCAGCCAGCCCCTCTCCTCAGTGAACTCCGCCTCAGCCGTCGCCACCCGCCGTCCCGTTCCTCCCTGCGACCTCTGCTTGGACAGCTTGCAGCTCGGATCCTCGGAGCCGCTGCCTCGATTTCCTCCTACTCGGTCCACTCGCTGTTCCTCCTGCAACCTTCCCCTTGGCACTCTGCTCTATGGTGCTTCCGGCTTCATCGCCGCCTCACCAACCACTGCTTTCTGGTACATCAGCATCCTTGCCCCCTCACCTCCGGCTAGAAGATTTGCCCAGTGCTAGAGCATTTGCAATTTTTGGGGTTTTTCTTCGATCGGGAGTATATGGATCTGGGGATTACTTTGCTACTGTCCAGTTAATTAGCCTCATTTGTTTGGTTGATTCATGTAGGTCCCCTCACCTCCGGCTGGAAGATTTGGCCAGTGTAAAGCATTTGCAAATTTTGGCGACTTTCTTTGATGGGGATTATATGGATCTAGGGATTACTTTGATGCTGTCCAGTTAACCACATTTGGTTGATTCAAGCGGGTCTCCTCACTTCCGGTTGGAAGATTTGGCCAGTGCTAGAGCATTTGCAAATTTTATGGATTTTCTTCGATGGGGAGTATATGGATCTGAGGATTTCTTTGGTACTATCCATTTAGCCTCATATTGTTGATTCATACAGGTCCCCTCATCTACTCCTGCTGGAGGCTGCTGCTGCGGTTTTCTTGATGGATTTTATCAAACTCTCTCGGATACTTCCCCTCTTTCTTATTTCTTACAATCATTTATATGCCGATCAGTTTTTGTCCAAAACATATGTTTATTCTCATGCATTGATCTGCAATGACCAAATCTATGCTTCGATCTTTTAATTTGCTACAGTTTTCCCTGCTTCTCTAATCAGTACCATTACAGATTTGTCTCTGTGACTGCTTATTGTACTTTCAAATTGCTTTACAGTGCATGCACAAGTCTGTTGCCTATTTTAGTACTAACCAATATATAGCTGTTCCCAACGAACATGGTAAAAATATTATCTCTGCAATTCTTTGCTTCTATAGATTCTCATGCTTACGATATCTAATCGATATCCATCCTTCTTTTGCATGGTTTTCATTTTCAGAACATTTCAGCTTTCAGTATATGAAGTTCATGAATGAAGTGACCGTTGTCCGGCTTGCAACTGTTCCATGGTGCAAATCAATCAGTTTGGATATGGAACACGCATTGTACGGGTTGCTGCTTATAGGTTGTTTGGATATCACTTAATGGATCAAACTAGCTTGTCATATTTGTTTATATACATGTGCTATTTGGAATTAAGTGCAGTGGTTGTACGGGTTGATTCAGAGTTGATCCCAGCTTATATCAGGTGATTATATTGATAACATGTATTACAAATTTTATTGATTTTCAGTTTGAGTTAATATTGTTTATCACTGTATGCATTGTTTTTTCCTTAGCAATAAATTAATTCTTCCCCTGGCCTGTTGGTTTCTGATACATGTGATTTACCATTGTTATTTGCAAGTGATTTATGTCTCTCTCTACAGATAAAAAGGTCACACATCATTCTGTGAAACTGGACCATCTCCAGATGCATTAGTGATCAACCTACAAGTTGCTTTCATCTTTTAGGGACAGAGGTAGCAAGTAAGAAGTATGACATAACATACAAAATAGAGTTGTTTTTTTCCTAGCAGTTCATTACCACCATTTTCTGAGTTATATCTATGCAATACATAACAAAAAAAGTCTCACTCTCTTTTGGCATGTACTGAACATTCACTTCTGAATGATTTTTGTTTTCTACATGTTCAACGAAGGTACCTGCATTGCTCTAAGCCTCTAACTACTTAGGTGGCAAAGAAAGAGGTTGGTTTACATATGCTAATATGCTATGTTCTCATCTTGCCTCACCACAGATGCCATGGTCTTACTCCCTTGGATTACAAACTTACGGTTTAGCAAATCAGTCTGTTGGTAACATTACAATACAGTTGGTTTTGTTTTGTATCTTATTAGGAGTTGCCTGCGATTTTGCCCAGCCACTTTGGTTTGGAAGAAAGAAATTGATGACTGAATCAATGAAGCTGTGAGTGGCAACGTTGCCTGTACAGAAGGATTGGTCTATCTTACTTTTGGCTATCAAATTGTACCATGTGCTCATATACCTACAATTGATTTAAGCTGGCATCAATAAGAATTACACCAACAAATATCTTCATATACCAATATTTTCTATAGTATCTATTCATACACCATGTAATCAATTCGATCTTCCCTGTGATCTTCCACCACCTGAAATTGAGATTAATGTGATAGATATCTTTTAATGTTTGAGTAATTGTTGTGATAAATATTTTTACTGATTTTTGTGTTTTGGCATCCGCGGCAACGCCGCGGGGTCCCTGCTAGTAAGAAACTAAAGTTGGCGTAAAAGGCGCCATTAGAGCTTACATTTTTGAGTGACAGAACAGAACATGCCAAAACACCGACCACTTTCAGAGAACTAATTCAGACTCACATACTCCGGGTGTGTTTAGTTTCTGAAAAAAGTTAAAAGTTTGAAGAAAGTTGGGAGTTTAGAAAAAAAAAATAGAAGTTTATGTGTATATAAAAGTTTTTGATGTGATATAATATGATGGAAAGTTGAAAATAGGGGGAAAACTAAACAGGCCGGAAACTACAAAATATAGCGAAGGAAGCAGTTCTTTCCAGATTCCTCATCTGCATTTATCATATTTCAAGTCACGTACGGCTTCTTAATCGTTGCAGTTTTACAGGGACATGTCGATGAAAGCATCAGTCCCCTCTGTCAGCTTCAGCAGCGGCAACGCCCTTCGCTGTTGCAGGAACGACACAAACCTTACAAGCAAGTTAAAATATATTATAAAGAACGAGTAAGTCAGTAATTTCTCAAAACCTATGGACGAGTATTTCAGGTAATGTTTAAAAGAATGTTATCCTGTGAGCAAAACAGTCTGATCGGAGAGAATATCGTAATTGGATGGGCAATCGGGCACACTTTTTCCTCTATATTTATATGTTGTGTGCTCTTTGAAATATCAGCAAGGTGACATGTTGGACTGCGATCTCTCTTATCACAAAGTATGCTACAGATAGTGGAACTTCTATAGACTACTGTTCTTGTACTCGAGTGGTTTGCACAGGTTACAAGACGTTTCGACTTTGATCAAAGTTAAACTACTTCAAGTTTGACTAAGTTTATAGACAAATATGATAATATATCAAAAAGAGGTAGTATGTCAAAGTCAAAATATCTTATTACCTGAAACGGAGGTAGTATGTTATTACAATTTTCAGAGATATACATGTATCAGACAACTATACTCGACCATAAGGATTTGGACTGGGAGGATCCAAGAGCAGTCGCCCTACATACGGCATCAGTTGTTCTCGTGAAGTTCTAGCTAAAGATGATCACATATGCATTCTAACCCCAGAAACAGTAAGAGTAATAACATAGGAGGGGGTCTGTCTTCGGATCTCGTGGATATGTGATCATCTTGATGAGGTCAGGTACGTTCCTGGAGAAACCAGAAAATGAAAGTACTAGCTGATAAGTCGTGAACGCCATTTAGCATGTCTGTGGCTCGGATCACTACTACAGAAATCGACTTTGGTACCGGTTAGAAACCATCCTTAGGTGCCAAATTTAAAACAAGCGCCCGTTAGACGACACTGATGACATGGTAACATGGATGCCGGTACCTATGAGTGGTACACTTTGAAAAAAAAAACAGCATGCTCACTCTAACAAGAAATCAAGTCGCACAACTAGTGACAAAAGCCCAACAGAAAAGAAAAAAAGGCGAGCTTTACCAGAAGGGTCGAGGCCAGGGTGGAGTTGTGCGCCAGTCGGCTAGAGAGCAGGTTCAGCTTTGGCCGCGGCGGTGCCCTGCAGGAGGATGGTGTGGCGGTGAGGCAGCCTGGGTGGCAGAGAGGAGGTCGGGGAGAAAAAAAAAGTTGTTTTTTATTTTATCTGGCAGCTGGTGCCAATAAAGGGGAGAGGAGGGGCAGCTGGTTTTATTTAAATTCATCGTTTAGTAGTTCAAAAAGTATGCATGTGGAGAATGAGTCAGCTGCTGCCGAACGCATAATTGTAACAGTTGCGAGCAAGTGAAGAACGCAATAAACAGAGTATGTCAATCCAATTTGCTCGGTTTTTTCTCCCATCAGGCTTGTTGCTCACCAGCTAACATCTATCTATTATATACTAAAAGTTCATAAAACTTCCTACAAATACTCTCAAGCTACCACATGGACATCCTATAAATGCTCTCAAGCCGCCATGTGGCATGTGGTATTTTAATAAATTAAAAAATATCAAAAATTTCTAAAAATAACCCACCATTGATTTTCACTTAAATCAGTGGGCTCATTATTTATGCCATTAGATCTGTTATAGATAACACAAAACTAATTAAATCTATCAAAACAAACAAACTATCCTCCCACCCCTCCAGCCGTACGTGCGTATATAGTATGTACTTACGTCTTACTCCTTCTCCCAACTCTTTTTTTAACTAATTTTTTCAATAGAAAAATAACTAATAATTTAAAATCCATATCACCCATATTTTACTATGTACAAAAACTAAAATACATTATTTGATCATATCGCATCAAAACAGAATCCGGTTTTTAATTTATTTAAACAGTAATTTTATTTGTAATTAATTAAGTAAATCAACATCTATATTACTATTTTGCTCTATAAAAATTTAAATACATCATTTGAACATACCGTCAACAACCAAACAACCACGAAACATTAAAATATTAGTGTCATCTTAAATCATTCTACGCAATAAAGATTCATCGAACTTATCACATTTAAAAATTAGAAAAAAATTCTTAGAAATTTGAGCATCATTATCATTATATACTAAAAGTCTAATAAATTTCCTATAAATGCTCCTAAACCGCCATATGGTATTCCTACAAATGCTCCTATACCGCCACGTGGCACTTTCCTATAAACCGGTGGACCCAACATTTTAAATCATTAGTTTATTAATTTTCACCACTAAATCTTATCTTCCAAAAAAAAAAATCTGTACGTTCCCCCACTCCAATCACAAGTTCACTTAATACGTTTTAAAACGAAAAAAAATGTGCACATGTATCACTACACCAGATCCTCACATCTCTGACGGGATACCTGTGACGGGCAAACGAAATGGTCACTGATGACCGTCACCTCTGACGGGTCATACGGGATGCCGTCATCGGTGAGGCATCCAGCTACGACCCGTCACAGGTAACTAGTCACCTGTGACGGGTTAAAAATAGAACCCGTCACAGGTGAGGTTACCTCACCTCAAACGGGTTTAAGTCCTAACCCGTCACAGGTGACTAGTTACCTGTGACGGGTCGCAGCCGGACAGCCCGTCAGAGGTGAGGTTTACTCACCTCAAACGGCTTTAAGTCCCAGCCCGTTTGAGATGACTTCTGCCACTGTATATATATATGTCTCCTCTCCCAGCGGGGCCCACATGAGGAGATAAGGTCGGCCGGCTCCCTCTTCTCCACTTCTCCTCTATCTCTTCCACTTCTTCTCTATCTCTCCCCTCTTTCTTTGTGCCATGGCGAGGGGAGGCGCGGCGGCCCCGGGCCGGCTGGGGCGGCGGCGACGGCCCGGCCGCCAAATCCGGCAAGGGCGGGAGGGGAGGCGCAGCGGCGCCGAGCCAGCGGGGGCGGCGGCGGCGGCCCAGCCGCCAGATCCGGCAGGGCGGGAGGGGAAGCGTGGCGGCGCTGAGCCGGCGAGGGCGGCGGCGGCGGCGCGGCCGCCAGATCCGGCAGGGGCGGGTGGGGAGGCGCGGCGGCGGTCCGGCCGCCAGATCCGGCATGGGCGAGGGGAGGCGCGGTGGCGGACGACGGATCTGGAGCCGTGGCGCCGTGGCGGCCGACGGCGGGAGGGGAGGCGGCTGAGGCCCGACGGTGGCAGCGGTCTCCATCTCCGCCGCCTCTGCCGGCGACGCTTCCAGCCTCTGCCTCCCACCGGCTTTCAACACCCACGCCGTCGCCGCCTCCTGACCGCCGGTCGCCAGATCTGGCCACCGGGAAGCCGGATCTGGCCACCGGCGCCTTTCCTCGCCTCCCGGCCGCCGATGCCGCCAAGTTTGGCCTCCGGGAAGCCGGATTCTGCCGCCGGCGCCTTCCCTCGCCTCCCGGCCGCCGACGCCACAGCGGATCCAGCCACCGACACCTTCGCCACCTCCACAACCTCTTCCCCGACTGCCGGACGCCGCCTCCTCCGCCGCCGACCGATGACCGCCATATCCGGCCTCCACGAGGTCGGGGGACGCGGATCCAGCGTCCGCGGCCTTTCCCCTCCGCCACCGACCGCCGGCCGCCGGATTTGTTTGTGCTTGATGTTGTTTGTGCTTGATTTGCTCATGTTTGTTGCTTGTGTGGATGTGTAGTTTGTTAAAATGGACATGGATACTTGTGTGATGTATATTGTCAGATTGCTTCATGTGTAGTTGTTTGTTGAGATGTATTTGATTTAAAATACAAAGTTGTTGTATCATGTGCATCTTGAGATGTATTTGATTTTTCTTCATTTCGTACATTTGGGCTGAGGCATTTCTTTTTTTTTTGGGTGATTTTTGACGTCTGTGATGGGTGAGAACTAAAACCAGTCACAGCTGTTTTGTCACCTTTGACGGGTTGCAAAGAGTCACCCGTCACAGGTGTGAGTCACCTGTGACGGCTATATTTTTTAGCCCGTCAAAGGTTTTAATTACCAGTGACGGGCTTTCACCCGTCAAAGGTGAGGTGTAGTCATCAGTGACCACTTGTCTCTGACCAGAACCAAATCCGTCAAAGGTGAGGGTTAGAGCCCGTCACAGATGACTGGATCCGGCCTAGTGTATGTACGTACTCCCTCTCTCCCCCTCTAACCCTCCCCTTCCATATTTCCTATTTTTTTGGCTAACACCAAATACGTGTAGTATAAAAATTAATTAGATAGCTAAATAATCTCTTGGTACATATATTTCTATATAAAAATTATAATACGTCACTTGGATGTATATACCCTTAATTTTCAGGGGTGAACTCAGAAAAAAAATCGGGACATCACTTGGATATTATCAGGGACACTACACATACAAATTATTTAATTACTGAGTGATATGTTAATTAATATGACATGAATTATCTATTATTATATACTAAAGATCCGTTAGATATCCTAC